GTATTCTTGAATGTCTTTCTTCCTAAATTTTAGAGGTGTGCACAGTTTGAGAATGTGTTAGGTTGACTCTAGGATATGGTATGCTAAGGTAGTTGGCTAAGAACTTTGGGACCATGAAGCTCTAGTTCACTTGCTTGTGGTAAGATGGAGTTGCTCTCTATAGTGGATATGAAATCAAGAGTTAGTTATTGCTATCCCTAGTGAGGTATAATTGTTCTAGCCTTCATCATACTTTGTTGAGCGGCATATTTGGATCCTTGGCTATTGCATTCTCATATCTAGAACTTGACTTTTAGCTCCCAAGATCGCGACTGAGCCACTTTAGGGGATGACAAAGACATTTCTCTTTTTATAGGATTAATTTTAAATTTTAGATTTGGTTTGCATTTGCCCCTATTACTAGCCCATTTGAGCCATATACATTCTTTTCTCTAACCACAATACAAGCCTTCCAGCCTTGGTTTCACTTTAACTCCTACCTTTAGTTTGTGAAGCAATTTTGTTTTGGAGCTTGTTTTATTGTTTATGGTGCAAGTTTAGAATTGTGAGTTCATTTGCAAAGCAAGTATGTGTTGTATATAATTTTTTGCATAAAACCAAATGCATTTTGAGAAAAAGCCGCCCAAAGTTAAAAGAGGCAAGGACATTAAAAAAAAAAAATAGCAAAAGCAAAAGCTTGGAAAAAGAAAATATCGAAAAAAAGTAAAGAAGAATGTAAAGCACAAAAAAAAAGAGGTTTTGTTATTGTTGTTTTCCCTGTTTTTGTTATTTTGTGTTAAATAAGTTTGGGGGAAAGTTATTTAATAAGCATACTTGGCACTTTTGTTTTGGAATCATTTGGATCTTGTGGAAGAAGTTCCACCCGTGCTTCACATAGGTTTACCGCCAATTTCAAGAGTTCTCCACACCCTTACTCTCCTAGCTTATATGTTACAACCTTGAAAGTCCTTTTGATCCTAAAGGGTTAAGTCATTCAATGATGGCGGGAAATAGGAATCAAGCCTATAGAGCGAGTTTGCATAGCCAAGATGTTGGGTAACCTTCTCAATGTTTTTAATTTCTTATTTATTTTCCGGTTCCTTCGTGGAATCATGAGAAGCTAACTTGAAAGTGGATTTGAAACTAGTAGAGAGAACGTGGTTTGATTGGTTGGAACAAAAGGTGGAATGTGTTTCCTTTAGTTCTCTATGCTTAGCATATGTTATGTTTCAACCAACCTTGGACATCTTAGAACGTGCATACCTTTATTATTTTAGAAATATTGACATTCATTAGTGTTTGTTCCATCATAAAAGTCCACTCTAGAACGCTTGTAACTTTTCTCTTACTTCGATTTATTTTATTTTATTTATTTATTGCTTTGCCTTGATTTTTTTTCAAGAGTTATGGGTTAAACTCTTAGGACACCCTTACGAGAGCTTACTCGTCCTCTAGAGCAATCTAAGGGTTTAAAGTGCTTGATGCATATGCTAAATGTATTCGTGATTCCTACGAAAGTGAGTTAGTGTATATTCTTCCCCTTCTAGTTTTCTTTGTTTGTATAAAATGCATCACATTCCCTTGTGTTTCTTTTGTTTTGCTCGAGGGCGAGCAAAAGTTAAGCTTGGGGGAATTTGATAAGTGACATTTATGTCGCTATTTTTAAGAGTTTTCTAGTTATTTTTTCATAGTTTTTATATCTTTTTACTTGGTTTTAATAACATTTTATTACATTTGTCATGATTGCGTGTGAAATGTCGTTATTGCTCAATTTTGGCTTTTCTTGCATATTTTAGTTGCTTATGGCATTAGATTAAACTTTATTGGTTTATTCTTATGTTTAGGAACACTTGGATAAGTTCATTGCTCAAGATTGAAGAAATATAAAACATAGAAGAACAAGTAATGAAGAAATGTGTACTTGATTTTCAATGATCGAAATTCAAACGCCTATATCTTTTTATCTACAAAACATTTTGGGGCAATTCCAATTGGAGATGAAAGCTTATCTTGAGAGCTTTCCAAAGACAGGTCATATGCCCAATTCCGTTGTAAAACGTGGGAGATATGTTCATTTGAAGCTGAGCGGTTTGCCCAGTCCGATAGGAGCGGGCGCGCATCCTATGAGGAGCGCCCGCTCTAAACTTTCTGGAACGATTCTGCCATATTTTTCTGCAGCTAGGAGCGCCCGTGCACGAAATTGGAGCGCCCGCTCCTCTGCACGCTGCTCGACTTTTTGCGGAGCTTCCTAGGCAATTTAGTAAGGGGTATAAATAGATTTTTTGCTCATTTTAGGGGGAAATTTCATATTTTCAGTAGTTTTAGGTTAGTTTTAGGTTTTTAGAGAGAGAAACTCTCAAATTTTGGAGAGAGAAAGTGAGAGAAACAATGGTTTTCATGGATTTTGGATAATCAAAGGAGGAATTTGATGATTTGAAGATCTCCATTTTATATCAATGAGCATTTCTTACTCTCTTCTCTCTTTATGCTTTATTAATTGCTTTGTTAATCATGTTTGAGTAGATTTCCTTCTACTAGGTGTTGAGTGAAGCTTTGTTATGCTTAATTGAGTTATTTGAGATAAATTTGATGATAATTGTGTGATTAAATTGATTGAATTGATGATGGCATGTTGTTTGTTTTAGATTGGATTGATCTCCCAAGATAGCAAACTTAATTGCATGTTAGTTCTAGTTTGACAAGGGATTGTGAATTAGAATTTATATATTTGATTGCAATTTGGGTAAATTTCTTCTATGCACCTAGTCAATGAGGGATCTAGGCTAGGAATTTGAGAGATTGCTCTTGATGGTAATTAATTCCCATTTTAATTCTTTCTTTGCATGATTGATTATCAAATCGATTCCCATTAACTTGTTAATTTTTCAAAGTGGATCTTTGCCCCTAGTAGACTTTGTAATATCTTGATCTTTATATGTGTGTTAGTGTAGTTGTAGTGTCCACTATCCATAAACCGACTTCGGCGTAGCTTAAGCATTAGATCGAGAACAATCCAACATTACCGTTCCTTGTGGTTCGACTCCGAACTTACCACTAGACTTGTTTAGGGGTTAGTTTAGGATTATAATAAATTTTGTTTGGCCGTGAGGAGGTTAGTCAACGACATAATTTTCCCGCGCTCAGGTACTTCTTTCTCATTTCATCCTCAGCTTCCCATGTCGCTTCCTCAATCTCTTGATTCGACCACAAAACCTCTACTATCTTGACATCTTTCTTGCGTGTACTACGCACTTTACTATCAAGAATCCTTACAGGTCTTTCCTCATAAGTTAGGCTTTAGTCTAGTTCTATGGTTTCAGGTTGTAGGACATGCGACTTATTATGGATGTACCTTCTCAATTGAGAGACGTGAAACAGATCGTGTACCTTGCTGAGGTCTATAGGCAATGCCAATCTATAAGAAACTTTTCTTATTCTTTGCAAAATCTCATATGGTCGAATGTACTTTGGACTCAACTTCCCTTTCTTCCCAAATCTTATTACTCCTTTCATTGGTGATACCTTGAGCAAAAACTTGTCACCAACTTGAAATTCCTCTTCTCTACGCTTTAAATCTTTGTAACTCTTTTGTCTATCTTGAGCAGCTTTAATCATAACTTGGATTTTTCTCACTTGCTTCGTTGTTTCTTCTATCAATTGAGGACCTAAAATTATTGTCTCACTAATGTCACTCCAACATAGTGGACTCCTACACTTTCTTCCATACAAGACCTCAAATGGTGCCATGCCTATGCTTGCATGGTAACTATTATTGTAAGAGAATTCTACCAAGTCCATGCTATCTTCCCATCCATTTTGGTAATCTAATACACATGATCTTAACATATCTTCTAAGGTTTGGATAGTTCCCTCAAATTGCCCATCTGTTGTAGGGTGAAATATTGTACTCATCTTCAATGTCGTACCAAAGTTCTCTTGAACACTTTTCCAGAATTTCGAAAGAAACCTAGAATCCCTATTAGAGACGATATCCTAAGGAACTCCATGTAGCCTCACAACATTCTTGATGATGTAAGCCTTTGCAAATTGTTCCATTTTCTAAGTCTCTGTCATTGGTATAAACACTGTCGATTTGGTAAGTCTATCCACCACAATCCAGATGGTATCATTCCCATTCTTAGACTTAGGTAAACTAGAGACAAAATCCATCGAAATGCAATCCCACTTCCAAGCCGAGATCTCGAGTGGTTGTACTGTACTCTGTGGTCTCTTATGCTCTATCTTCACTTTTTGACAGGTTAAACACTTAGCTACAAACTCTGCTACTTCCTTTTTCATCTTAGGCACCAATACACCTTTTTCAAGTCCTTGTAAAGCTTATCTCCTCCTAGATGTATTGAATAGGGTGTATAAATCCCTTCTTCCATCAATTTCTTCTTCAACTCCTCACATTTTTGTGGTACACACCACCTCCCCTTGAATCGAATACTCCCATCATCATGGATTTGAAATCAGTTGTCTTCCCTTGCTTGATCTTCTCCCGTATGCGATCTAATTTCGCATCCCCTACTTGGTTATCCTTAATCTCATCGAATATTGTTGGTTGGATACTCAAACTATTAAGCATTCCTTCCAACATTCCATGTGGTACTACCTCGAGGTTCAACTTACTCATTTCCCTAAAAAGTTCATCTTCTACAACCAAAGCGTTCACTCCGTGAATTTCTTTGTGGCTTAAAGCATCTGTGACTACATTCGTTTTAACCTCGTGGTATTAGATGTTTATTTCATAGTCATTGAAGAATTCTATCCACCTATGTTGTCTCATGTTTAAGGTTGATTGCGTGAAAAGATACTAAACTTTTATGGTTTGTGAATATCCTGCATTTCACTCCATATAAATAATGTCTCTATATTTTCAACACAAACACTATTGCTGCCAATTCTAGATCATGAGTATGGTAGTTAGCTTCATGTTTTGTCAATTATCTCAATCCATAAGCAATCACCTTCCCATTTTGCATCAAAACACATCCAAGTCCATTCTTAGATGCATCACTTTATTCATCATAAGAACCACTTCCATCAGGTAAAGTCAACACTGGTGTTGTAGTCAAACTCTTCTTCAAGGTTTGAAACGATTCTTCACACTTATCACTCCAAATGAACTTAAATTCCTTCTTCATCAATGAAGTCATAGGTCTAGCTATCTTCGAAAAATCCTTTACCAACCATCTATAATATCCAGCTAGGCCTAAGAAGCTTCGAATATCCAACACATTCTTCGGTGTAGGCCACCCCTTCACAGCTTCAATCTTTGCAGGATCTACCTCCACTCCTTCCTTAGATACGAAATGTCCCAAAAATGCTACCTTCTCCAGACAAAACTCAAATACTAATACTGATCTCAAATGCTCTGCATGGTTCTCTTTATTCTTTGAATAAACCAAATAATCATCATTAAATACCGCGACGAATTGGTCTAGGAAAGGTTGAAACACTCTATTCATCAAGTCTATAAAATTTGCAGGTGCATTTGTCAACCCAAAAGGCATTACTATAAACTCATAGTGTCATATCTCGTCCTAAATGCGTTTTCGGAATGTCCTCTTTCGCAATCCGTAGTTGATGATATCCAGACCTCAAATCAATCTTAGAAAACACTGGTGCACCCTTCAATTGGTCAAACAAGTCATCTATCCTAGGCAAAGGGTATTTGTTCTTTATGGTTACCTTGTTTAACTCCCTATAATCGATGCATAGCCTCATGCTACCATCTTTCTTCTTCACAAACAATACAGGAGCTATGGTGATGCACTTGGTCATATGTATCCCTTCTCTAACAAATCCTGTTATTGACTTTTCAATTCGCTCATCTCAGCAGGTGCCATCCTATATGGTGCTTTAGAGATAGGTGCGGTTTCAAGTATTAAGTCTATGGTAAAATCTATGGTTCTTTTTGGCGGCATACTTGGAATCTCTTCAGGAAATACATCTAGAAACTCCTTTACTACTTTGATATCCTCTAGTTTAGATGGTTCCTCATACTCCAAGTTTCTCACACTACAGAAATAGATTGGCTTTCCCTTCTTCATATATTTTGCCAATTTCACCACAGAAATGATCTTAGTATGCCTGGGTTTTCCATGCCTCCAATGGGTTACGAGCTCTCCCAGAGTCGTTTTCAAATGAATCTTCTGTGACTGACATGACATAACTAATCCATTCCCAGAATTATTTCAAGGTCCCCTAGTTCAAATTCAATCAGGTTGGATAGAAATTCCTTACCTTTAATCTTTATGGGGACATCCTTATAGACCCTAGTACAATGAACTACACTCCCATTTGGAAGTTCTACAGGGATATCTATGTTTTCTACCATTTTCAGACAATACGATAGTTTTGGAATCATAGTTTTATAAATGAAAGAATATGTTGCACCAGAATCAAACAAAACTTTAACAGGAATTGAGTTTATAGAAAATGTACCAGTAATGACTTCTCTAGCTGCATCAGCCTCACGCGAACCCATCACATTAAGCTTCCTTGGTGTTCCACCCTTGACTTGTGTGTTACCACTATTGGTATTCTTATTCCCATTCTAAAACTGCGTTCCCTTATTCACTTGATTCCCATTGTTCCCTTGACCTCCTTTCTGCTGATTCCAGATCTGTCCACTACCCTTAAATTGGTTGTTTCCTTGACCCCCTTTATTCTTAAAGAAACACTCATATGCCTTATGCCCTTGCTTGTCGCACATGTTACAAGTGACTAAGTTACCCTCACAATCTTTCCCTGGGTAGTTTTTGGAACATTTCGTAAAGTAATATATTCTCTGGTTACGATCTTTAGGCTGGTTCCTATTTCCCTTAGGAAAATTGCGCCCACCTTGGTTGTTCCTATTATTTAGGAAATTATTTCCTTGATGATTGTTAAACTTTTGCTTCTTGAAGTTATTCTGGTTCCTAGACGGTCTAGAACTAGTCATAGGCTCCTTTCTTTTCTCCCTAGCTTCCAACTCATCCTTTTTGGCTTTCTCCTTCAACTCTAACGCATGTAAATGCGCTGCTCTACCATACAACTCATTCAAATTGTCAAACACTTGTCTTGACAACTTGCTTTGAAGAGAAAGAGGCAATCCCCTCTCAAACCTTCTAGCTTTTTTCCTATCAGTGGCTATAGTATCTTCAGCAAACCTAGACAGCTCGATAAACTTAGTGTAATACTCAGTCACCGACATACTCCCCATCTTAAGTTCCAGGAACCCATCAGCTTTATGTTTCTGCAAGAACATAGGGTAGAACTTATCCTTCACTTGCTCCTTAAACACATTCCGTCCAAAATTAGTTAATGCTCTCACAGCTTGTTCATGTTGCTGCCACTACAGATCTGCTTCACCCCTTAAGTAATAAGCTGCAATACTCATTTTAGACTCATTAGGACATGCTACTTCCACAAACAACTTGTCAAATTCTCTCAGTCAGTTTTCAAGGATAGTTAGGTCAGGTTCTCCTTGGTAAGTAGGAGGTTTGCTTTGGGTTATCTTCTTAAACAACTCCCCAGCAAGGATAGGATTGTTATTGTTATTCTTTGCAGCTAATTGTTGAGCTACAGTAGCTAACTGCCTTACTACCTCATTCAGGTCATTGTTATTGTTGTTTCTCCCTGCCATTCTAGTCCTCCTGAATAAAGAGATGACTACTATTAGGTTGGTCACAACTCTTTTCTAACTAAACAATAACCAAGATACTTAAATTCAAGCATACAATCAGTCATTTTGAATTATAGTAGAAGCAACTACTCATTTCTCCTAATAATAATTCAACATATTATTTTGGCTTTCATGCAATCGTTTCACTTAGATTATTACATCATAAATAAAATGTTTTTGAGTCATTTCCCTTGATACCATTTATAGAAAATAAAGGTAATAGATGGCATTTGATAAGGTTGTTTGAAGGTGGAAATAAACATAAGGAATAAATAATACTTTATTGAAATAATGAAAATAAATGTTTGGAATATCCCAAATGTAGCTTTGCTACTTATTACTCACGCAATACTTTATTAAATTGTATTTACGAATGAAGAATGAAATAAATACTCAAAACACTAAAGAAAGTTAGTCTAAAATCTTCAAATGTTGACATTGTCAATCTTGTCTTTTATCTCCTTGTACTTCTGTAGATTATACTTAGGATCACTCCCATCATCACTATCATTTCCACCACCACCATCATCATCATCATCATCATCGTCATCATCATCAACCTCATCTAACTCAGGATCTTCGTCAGACTCATCAAATTCTAAGTTAATGATTACTAGAGGGCTTGGAGGATTTGGATTAGGAATGATTTCACATGAAGAATCTCCAGACTCATTAACTTGCTCCATTGGCTCACCCTGAATCTCATAAGTTTGCTCAGGTTCTGAATCAGACATGGAATCATCGTTTTCTGAAGAATAATAAGGTGCATTTTGTTGTGGACCTGGATCACCAAAGTTATGGTAAGGAGGAGGATAAGAAGCATACTGAGGGTTAAGGTAAATGAATTCTTTAGCAATGTAACGGTATAAATATCTCCAATCTACTCCCCACTGACCATTAGAATCCTTATATTTAGTATAGTTAGCTACACCATTAGGCAAATGAAAATCACGAAAAACGACTCTTAATAGCTTCATAGGGAGGGTAGTTAGGCAAACAATGAACAATCATGGCAGAGACATAGTCAGGTTGGTCAAGATGACGCTCTCCAAACACATCAGATCTATAAGTAAAATAAAAGCGAATCTTACTAATATAATCCACACATGCTCATAGTCCTTCTTTACTAAAGTACCCGTGGTAGTGAATCTACTAGGTAAATCAAACATCCTGCAAGGTATTTCGGGTTATGACTCAATGAGAGAAAATTTCTTTTCAATCAATATATAGTTCCTTGCAAAAATTTAAGTTTGGTGCTCAATCATACAATTTAGGTTATTACACATAAACATGCTTTCACATAAATACATATTATCATATAACATGCTTGAACACCTTGCATAGATAAAATATGCACATAGGAAGACATACAATTCTAACCTATATGCCCTTTCTTTCCTACCCAATCTCACCACATGCTTTCAAAAGCAATTAACACATAATTACATACTTTAATTCCTTAGCATACCTGCATACAAAATATATACAATTTAGGTGATTACACATAAACATGCTTTCACAGAAATACACATTATCATATAACATGCTTGAACACCTTGCATAAATTAAATTTACACATAGGAAGACATACAATTCAAACCTATATGCCCTTTCTTTCTTACCCAATCTCACCACATGCTTTCAAAAGCAATTAACACATATTACTTTAATTCCTTCGCATACCTGCATACAAAATATATTTTTTTAAAAAATGAACTTCATTTTTCGAAAATAATTGTCCAAAAATAATAATAAAAAATTCGGACCCCTTTATTTTTTAAAAAAAAAAATTTCAGAATTTATTAAATAAAAAAAAATTCGCACCATTTTAATTTAAAAAAAAATTTCGGCCTTCTTAAAAAAAAATCGAACCTCTTAAAAATATTTTCAAACTTAATTAAATAAGCACTTGGCCAAGCTTTAAAACAAAGGTACCCATGAAAAACGTTTTTGGCTTTAGTGGTAATTAAAATCCAACCAAAGCTCCCAAATACCACTTTGTAATACCCTGGAAATTTCCTTCCTTAAAAATACTCCTTTTACTCTAAATAAAACCCTTTTTAGGAAATAACCAAAATATTATCGCCACTGTGATAACGGTTAAGACATTTTTCAAAGTCTCGCAGCGGAAGTCTAAAACAAAAACCAACTTTTAAAAATAAAACTTGAGTTCACAACCTCAAAACAAAAGTAGAAAAACATTCACAAGTTGGAACCAATTCAAACATGGCCCTTCTTAAAAACCAATTAAAAATAAACACAATAATGTTAGTCCATAGCAAATCATTAATTCAAAAATAATAAACCAAGAAACATAACAAGTAACACTCTGCACTCTATCCCATCATGCTCTTCATGCTTCAAGTACCTGTTACTTCCTCTTTATTTCAACTCTCTACTCACCATAAGAATGGGTAATAGTAGGGTCAATCTAAAAGAAAGCCAAATACAAACACAAAAGTACGAATCACCAAAGCTGAGTACCTATGCATCACAATAACATGATTATCCTAGCATCAAAATAAAAATAATAATTAAAACATGCTCGCCACAAAATCACAAGTCAACTTACCTTTGACTCATAACTAGCAATATTAATTATTAATAACAATTTTGGATTACGCATCGAACGAGTTTCCTTCCTTGAAAATAGCTCATTTAAATATTGAGCTTCCAATCAGGGAGCTACCCCAATTGCCACCTACTATGTTACCTTGTGACGGAATTCCAGCGCATTAATAATAAAAGAAAGTATAGCGTCCTATACCCCTGTAGAAACTATGGTTAAATATAAAACCCCATAACTCCCCCAATATGTTCATACTCAAGGTATATACGTTCCAA